TTCGTAGTTACCTGTCCCAGCACACGGAGTTATGGTTTCAGGATTAGTGCTGTAGCTAAATTAATGCTTTTATTGTTAGCTTTTAATGCCTCTGTGGTTGTAACTTTGTGTTTTTCTTTTTGCTGCCTGTGTCCTCACTCAGGTGGGTGGGGCTTTTTATACTTGGTCAACACCCTTTACAAATTCCACACTTACTGGAAGTATTTCAGTCTACAGATCTGTACGACTCCTATTTATGTAGATCTCAGAGCTGTTTCTATTTATACAGATCCCAGTGCCGCTGCCTGTTTCCTTAGTTCTCTCCACCCACTGAGTCTCACAATAAAGGTGTACACTACTGTAAAATAATAATAACAATTGCTTGCACTTATATAGTTTTTTTCTGGACACTCAAAGCTCTTTACAGGTAATGGGGACTCCTCTCCACCACCACTAGCCCCACCTGGATGATGCAATGGCAGCCAAAGTGCGCCAAAACCTCACAGTGTAGAGGAGAACAGAGTAATGAAGCTAATTCATAGATGGGGATTGTTAGGAGGCCATGTTTGGTACAGGCCAATGGGAAATTTGGCCAGGACACCTACACTTTTTGAGAAGCACCACAAACGACCACAAACAGTCAAGACCTCGGTTTTACGTCTCATCCGAAGGACAGCACCTTTTTACAGTATATTGTTCCTGTCACTAAACTGGGGCATTAGGACCCACATAGACCACAGGGTGAGCACCCCCTACTGGCCCCACTAACACCTCTTCCAGCAGCAACCTTAGTTTTTCCCTGGAGGTCTCCCATCCAGGTACTGACCAGGCTCACAGCTCCTGAGCTCCAGTGGGCTGCCAGCTGTGAGTTGCAGAGTGATATGGCTGCGTGTGAAGGACGCTAACAGATGATAAGAACGTCCGCATGGCCTGACTGTTTTAAGGTATCTCACATGCATAGCTATCCCTGAATGTGTATGAGTAATATTTTAAAAAGGCACCTAGCAAGGACTTCCACTTACACTTAACACTGGGGTCCCTCGTGACACAATTAGAATTTTAATCTGGCTTTTGGCAAGGGCCCTGATGACGGCCTGCTTTTCTGAGCTGATTTGTCCTCTGGTCGGTGCTGAAGTGTGACCAGCTGTTTCCAAGGTGCGAGGACTGAAAGGGTGTTGTTTTCGTCAGTTTTTGCTGGCTGCAATGCTGTTCGATGCGCACTTGCTATTCCTCAGTATCCTACTAAAAACTTTTTGTTTTGCGAGTTCAAAAGAGTGGCAATTGTAGACACTGACACTCTGTTAAAATATACTGCTTTTTAAAAGACAAAAACACATTCTGTACAGTATATCCAGTGTTATTCCTTGTCCAGGTACTTGGTCCGGTTTTCATTCCATCTCAGACCTTAATAACATAATTGAACTGACGTTATGCTTTTCAGGTTTTAATCAGTCGCTTACAAAAACCCGTAAATACTTGGTACTGGTTGATTATAGTCTAGCTCTCCAAAAACACTTTTTCATGACAAGGACTTTGGAAACATTAAGCCAATAACAGTGAACCCATCTGAATTATTTTACTATGATTCGCTCAAAGAGAGCGGAACATGTGAATCGTTTAGAAACATTTAGAATCGGATTCACTTTATCTGCCAAGAACGTTACGTGTACAAAGAATTTGATCTGGTGTTTTGGGCAAAAACATAGAACAATCAATAATGCATGGACACATTCACATAAACATCATGCACGATTATATACCCCGTTTCCACGTGTTCTGGTTGAGCAGGGCGACCGCGAGGGGGTAGAAGCTGTTCAGATGCCGGGCATTCTTATTGAATGATAACATTGTTATTGAAAAAAAAAACTATAGTGAGGGTTGTTGTTTTTTTTTTGTCTGTTGCTGCAACTACACCTCTTAAATATGAAGAAACTAAAACGACATTTTGCACAAACAGATCAGAATACACACATTACTATGACCCTGTCACGAGGTTAGAAAGAGTCTTCCGTTTTACTATATTCAATCAGGTAGCGTTGTTTTTAGTATTAGGGGAAAACCCACTTCATCTACTTCCTTGTAAAATACTGCTGAAGACGGTGTTACTGACGTTTTTTTATTATTTATACTGCTCGCCAGTCGTTGACGAAGTCGGACTAGTTCCTGAAAAAAGCGACAGAGAGACGCGTGTCCCCCAGCTGAGACAGCGCCCTCCCCGACGGCTCGTCTCTTGCTCTGCCGCTGCGCAGTGATTAGAGTCCATCACTCGGGACAGCCGAACTGCCGGGTTCTTCAGATGTTCGCTCGGCAACCGGTCTGCCTGCTGCCTGCCGTCCTTTGAGAGGCTGAGCAGACCTGTAACGTGCCGCCAGAGAAGGTCATGATGTATTAATGAGGTTCCTACCAGGTGAAAAAAGGGCAGCGCTGTCGTGTCATGACCAGCAATTACAGCTGCAATAATGTAATGTGCAGTATTTGATTCAAGGTCCAAAATTCTGTATACAATACTAATGAATTTCGCCCATGCTGTGACCTGGACCCAGTCAAGACAGTTCGAAATAAATTTCACTCCAAAAAAATCAGCGTTATTTTTTCAATGTTTCCTTCACTCGGGACACCGCCACCTATTTAATACAGAGAGAAGAAGCAATAATGCTTACTGGAGTCTTAAGTTTTTCCTCCTTTGGGAGTAATGGTCTGTTTTCTCTGTCTTTCAAAAATCTTTTGATTTGAGATCAAGGTCAAAGATAAAAGGAGTCTGAGAAGGATGAAGAAAACTCTTGTCTCGTGGCTGGAATGCAGGCCCTGTTGTGGATCACATTAGGAGCTGTGGGGTCTCAGGGCAAGCTGTTCCGTTATGGTCATAATGTACTTTTCAATCTACTTAACATATTGACTGATGCAGTTTGTGTGGAAAAACAATGTATTTTTCAGTTAAAATGCAAACATTTTTTACTATATGTCTCATTACGAGCACAGCAGTTTACAATTGTTGTACTTGGATAGTTTATTCGGTGAGACTTTGGCGGCTGTTTCAGTTAGCGTTCTCTCTCTCTAAACTTTGGACTCTAAAGTGAAAGTGAAACCATTAATTCTCATACATTGTTACATCTAAAAACTGCAAAAGTCACTTGTGCTCCGTCAGACTTTTTGTGTCCTTACTTCCTTATGAGAGGTATTCCTGTTTTTCGCCTTGTGCACATATGGGTGGGTAGGAATGATTAACTATGAACCTTAACACACAAGGGTTAGAAGCTATCCGTCTGCCGTCTTACCGAAAGCCCAATCAGGGTCCATCACAGGGCACGCACACGCACACCAGGGCCCGCTTTCCTAGAAGCCACTTAATCTACCTTTATGGCTTTAGAGAGTAGAAACCCAAACACACACAGGGGGGAAACATACAAACCCCATACAGACGGGACCCCAGGTCTGGAATTGAACCCAGTGCTGTAAGGCAGCAATGCTAAGCCCCGTGCTACCATACCAACCCCCTCTCTTTTAATATGTCAGCTCATTATCATTGCACTTCCTCTTCCAATACTCTTGCAGATTAATTTGTTCCCGTCACCTCGTGTTACAGTACATTGCATCTACCCAGAGGTCTTGGGAATTTTACGTCACTCTCACGCTTGACAGGTCAGTTCTGGTAGCAAGCACGGGCAGAAGTCTGTCCTTTTGAGACAAACGGACAGACTTTCTTTCAGTATCTATTATATATAATCTTGTATATCTTGTTGTTTAACCGTTTTACACTTTTTCACACTGAAGAAATGTCGCAGTTGACGCGTGCCGGGTGTGATGGCGGCCTTCCGGGGAGAATGACGTCACGAAAGTCTCAGCGGTCCGCTGTCCGTGTCCCCCACTCCTCTCTCACCAGCACTCGGGCCGCTTGTGCACCTGAGTCGCGGGGTTGAATGAGCTGGAAACCGCGTGTAGGAAACTGATCCCAGCTCTCAATTCACACTCCAGGGAGAAGAGCTCATGAAGCCATTTCCTGTTTGTGGAGTACAGAAGCCGAACGCCCCTTGTTAGCCCTGCTTTTCCTGTCATGAGATACATAGGCAGTGTCCATCCAGTCAAATCACCTGACAGCGCTGCATCTCCACGGCAACGACAGGAAAGCATACAGTATTTAATGATCGTTCAAAGTAACATGCACCTTTCTCTCCATGTAAAACTCACACATTTTAGTAAAAACTCAAAAACAAATACTGATGCTGTTTTTAATTAGCTGAATTTTCTTCTGAAAAACAAATAATCACGGGAAATTATTAATTAGGTTTGTTTTTTCTTAGCCTTCGTCATTTTTGTACGCTAGTGAATTACGGCAATAAGCAAGGAAATTAGGGAAAATATTTTACCTAGCACGCTAAACGATTCATCAATTGTGGTCATTTAGCGCCACCTAGCGTCCACTTTTTACTGCTGGGGGAATTACGGTTATTCCACGATATTCTTGTTTTGAACCTGACTGGTGAAAAAAGCACAACCCTCTGGCACCAATATAGGCAGTATTGCTCTCCATGTTCGGAAATTGTTCTGTTGACATGTAGTTCTATTATACAGTCATTCCTGGAATGACTGTCCTTTTTTAACCTGACGGACTATGAAGTACTGTATTTAAACTATACTGTAAATAAAAATAAGAGAGCCATATGGCAGGTCACATGGAGTTCATGACAAAAGTTCAGAAGCAAGACAAGGCACCTACTTGCACTAATCACTCATCAACAGAGCAGTATAAATACAAGCCTGGCTTTTTTCCCCTGTAATCTTACAGAGGGCCCTTCCACACAGTCAGCATCACCTTCCAGACATAAGACACTACAGTATAAACACATTCTTGGAGTTCAGCGCTCACCTGGATCTACACACAACAATCTGAGACCGTTTTCATTCTCTCACGGCAGATACGAAACCTCTCTGCGCACAGAACAGGAAGCCCCGATACCCATTACGGCCCTAGCTTAGGCGTACACTCCAGCACAATAGAAACGGAAACAAGCACACCTAAAAGATGTTTTTCAAAAGCTGTTTATTTCTGCATGCAAGTCTCTCTTCACATTTTCAGTGACAAGGAAGAATGCAGTTGAACACCAGGCTACATATGAACTAATACTGGATTAGTCTTCTGCCTTTGACATGCCATGAGTTTATTACACAGTAATCAGAGGTTCTCCGCAATGAAGGTCTTCATTCAAAACCACCGGTTTCCCGATCTAATGCTGTGAGCAGCTTTGGCAAATATCTGAGGCGGCTTGCTGTCATTGTCAAACGTGCAATAAGTCTGCAAAACTTCAAGTGATTTGCTAAACAATGCAATACAATAAAGGTACCTTTCTTTCTCAGTAAAACTCAAACACAGACAAATGACACGCAAGGTATAAGTGAGAAACAAGGAATATGGTTCAAAGAGGACACCGATTCATAATCGGTTTATCTTCATCACCAGAGGGAGACATAGCCAGCAATTCACAAGATGAAGATTCTCCCCCACACACAGCCACTTCGTTGCATAACAATTGGTGTGAATTTGCAAGAACTAATTAAAACACCATACCATAAAAGCCAGAGCCACCTGACATCTCCTTTCACTCGCACTCATGCTTTCTAAACACTGCTGTGGAGAGATGTAGCTGTGTTTTGGGAGTCTACACTTCACCTTAAGAACTGTTAACTATTCCTACAGGCTACAGCAACCCCCCTTAATTGTTGTAACAGTTTTAATATTTGTCTTGCAAACATGCCTCAGCCAAAATATATCTGAACTTGTAAAGAAGATATGTAAGGAAAATAGAGTTTTGCAGTATGTGTAGCATGCTTACATAAAATCTAACCATGAAATAAAATACTCAGTAAATTAAACTAGTGCTTTTATCCAGTTGTTGACTAGATGGAAAGGTGCTATAGGATTACAAAAACACTTATAGATGAGTGGCTTCAAAGACTTCAGAGACAGAGGACATGCTGCAGTCCAAACATGTGATCAAGTGTATTTAGTCTACAGCCTCCACTGGATCTGCTCCATGCTATCTAACTGAGTAAACATATCAACTTAACTACCATGCAAACCCTGCTATCTGTGCTTATACCCCATTTACATTGTACCTTTTATCAGCTTGCAACACAGTCTCTGGAAGAGGTGAATAAAAACACAAATTCAAATCAAGATGTGTATTCAAATGAAACTGCACAACGAGAAAATGGACTGCAATTATGAATTAAAGCAAATACATTACAATGCATAAAATTAATACTGCAACTTACATACAAGGTCAGAATGTCATCCATAAATTCAAAACTTGCAGAATTAATTTTCCAACCATATAGATCAACATGCACTGCCAGTTAACTGCTACATCAACCTGTTTTCACTGATATTTACTGCACATGGAGCTGGTAGACACCAGTGCTACGCTCAAGTCGTTACAGGTCTTTAAAATACTTGTTTCGGGGGAGCAGTATTGACAGAAGCACATTGGAATTGCATATTATAGAAGCATGCTGAAGTCCGCTTCCAATTATTAATATTGTCAGTATTATTTTTTTTTAAATTAACAAAAAACTTAAACTTCTTAAAAATCAGACTTGTGTTGTACTATTCTGTCAGGATCTGAATTCATTGGAGTACTACAGTACATTACAAAGACCACACAGCCATATTCAAGAGTTCTCTGAAGAGAATACCTGAAAAGAAAGTCAGAAATTCTGAAAGAAAAAAAACAATAGATGCTAGGATGTTGTCAGATCTGAAGTAAACACCACTAGTGTTAATTTTCAACTTGTGGGTTATAAAACAGAACACAGATATAGAGACTGTTTCTTTTATCAAACCATAAAACTCTAAAAGCACAGTCCAGAGTCCTTCCAGAGTCTTTCAAGGCTGCATTTGTTACAACTAAAGGCATGAGGAACAATATACAAAATATACAAAACATCTGAGCTCCTTCAGAGGCACAGCTAATCAACACTGCATTCTGTGCACTGAGGCAGATAAAGACACCCTGGATTTAAGGTGCTTGGAGAGAGGTGTACCAAGGAAAAACAACAGAGAAAACTCTGAAAGGATAAATCAGCTAACGACACCTAGCAAACGCACAATCCTCCGTTTCCTGGTTCCTCAGTGATCACAGATCACTGATGTATTCTATTAGTGTGGAGCAAAATGGAATGAAAGTGAACTGACGTGCAAAACTTAAATGACAGGAGGAATGACACAGAGTCTTTAGCAGCATCCCGGTGCATGTCAGCAAAATGCTTTTGAAAAAGGTTTTTTTTTTTTAAAAGACAGCGATCAATCCAAAGGTTAAAATACCACAAGGAATGAAATGATGTCACTTTAGCATGTGCACTCCATGTGGAAATATCACTGAAAGGTGCTTCAATACACCTCTTATGGAGTTGCTGCTTGCTCTTGCAATTGTAGTTCTCTGCCATAGTAACCGTCTTAAAAAATGTGCTCCGGCTCTTCAGCTCCAGTGTTAACCACAAAAATTGCTTTAGAGAAAGAAAAAAATACCCAAAAAGAAAGAAGAGGCTACAGTCTTCAGGAACGTGCAACCTGGCACTTTGTGCAACTTTTCAGAGGCCTCTGTCTGAAGGACTGTAGCTGGACAGTGCAGCGGTACACTCCATATGTGTTTAATAGTAAAAGTCTGGCCTTTGACTGGACTTCCTCCCACTTTGTTGCGCTGGACGGAACTGAAAAAAAAATAGAATACAGAAATGAGCAAAGAATTGTAAACACTTTGTAAACTGAACAGGAACAAATACACAGTTTTCCCAGCATGCACTCAGAGCCAATAAACCATCCTAGGTAGCAGAGGAGGCCCTTGGCGTGACCTGTTGTACCTTTTCCCATTGTATAGAAAACCCTGGAAAAGTCTAGAGTTAGAACAACCTCCAATGAGACTGTCATTACATATACTGAGTATCAGAAGAAACCACCTAAAAATTCACAAAGTTTATATTAGGAATACATCTTTTTGTAGCAGATGCACAAACAATTTATTCAACCAAAATTATGTTTATAAATTCATTATGCTGATTAATGCCTGTCATTAAGAAAGCTGGTGTAGAGGGGTTCTGCTGTGAAAGTCACAGGTTAGCAGCTCATGTAGTCAAGCGCTCATATGGTACATCTGCAAGGCCTGCTTTATATCAGGTTTCAGCCACTGGCTGTGGGATTCTGTCCCATTCCTCTCACAGAGGCTGGGCAAGCATGTGCCTGTTCGCTGGGCTCTGAGCTCTAGATGCCACACATTGTCCCAGCTCCTCCCACAGATGTACACTGTTAGGAGAGCAGTAGAGGATGTGGATTTTGAAGACCCAGGAAAGGCAGGAGATGAGCACCCAGGCCTTCATCAGTGTAGCACTGTGGAATCAGAGTGTCAATCTGGCCCTCCCCACTGATTGGTCCGTTGTACAGTGTGTCATTCTGCAGCTGAGCGCCACACATCCTCCCAGGCGATCGACACAAAGCCTTGATTCAGCGCTAAAGAGGACATGGCTCCACCTGATGTGACCTAGTCCAGCTTCCTGTATTCTGATGGCATGACAGCTTTCTTCTGCATTCGTGCAGAAACAGAGTGATATGTTTCTTTCAATGGTCAAGATATGAAGCCTATAGATTCAGAACAGCTGACCTTTAACAGGAACATAACAGCACAGACTTCAAACAGAACACCTCAATTCTAAAATGCATACTAGATGCACAGCTTTGCTCTTGTATCATCAGCAAGACATGATAACAGACTCCACTGAGTTTAAGGATAAGGTAAAGGGTCCTTTAACAAATACACTGTCACAAGCAGTTCAGTCCAAAAAATATAGCTGAATTAGATATTTTATATATTGATGTATAAACACCTTAGAGTCCTACTACACCGCTTGCCCGTTAAAGCTTTTTAATCACACTTTTACTTTTCATGCAAAAAAACTCATGTTCAGGCATGCTGGTGACGTGGGTTAGCTGTGTTTCGGTTTTCACTTCTTGTTTTCTCTGTCAATGAGGCGAAAGAGACATTTCAAGAGAAAATGGTCTCTGTCACTCACGGAGCTGAAGATGCACCACTGCAGCTGTTTTGTCTGTAGTTAACGCCCAGACGTTGAGATCCTCTACTGAGTGCACATCTTCAAGCTTCAGCAGGTCCTCTTTGATACGGGCCACATCCAGATGTCTGGGAACCCCTGCCGTGAAGTAAAAAAATATTGCTTTCCATTGGTGTTTAAGCACAAGAAGAAAAAAAAACAGGGTATGGTCCTTCTTTCTGAGTTCCTCACATGCTACGTAGACTTTAAAAGTATTTGAAAGTACACACACCAACATAACAGGAAAAACAGGAAACAGAGAATTATATGAACCGTGCATTTTGCAGCACAAAGCCAGTGAGATGCCTTACCTTCAAGCACAATAATCCCCGCGTCCCAAATAATTCGGACTGTTGTGAACAGGACAAGGACTGAGAATATATAGGTGCAGATCGGGTCGGCAATCTTGTATTCAGGCTGCAAAAGCAAGATGTAAAGAGATGAAATCACCTTTTTTCTCACTTTTTGGCGACTACCAATTTGTGAAGATTTTTGCTCAAAAGAAATTGCAACAGGCAGAAGTAGAATGTTTTCAGTGACTCACAGAAGTTATGCTCCAACTTCTTAGCAAAGAATCTAAGTTATGTGTTAACGTCATTGCCTGAAGAAACAGTAAAGTGACAGAGGCGCAGAATACCTTGAAGCGGACGATATAAGCAGCCACCAGGACCCCGATGCTCTGCAGCAGGTCTCCCAGGGCGTGGATGAAGGCAGCCCTCACTGCCAGGCTGCTGTGGCTTTGCCCTGAGCTGTGGGCAGCTGGGGAGGGCCCGTGAGAGTGAGAGTGGGAGTGGGAGTGAGAATGGAGGTGTCCTGACTGATTCAGAAGGAATCCCATTCTGTACAAGAAGGCAAGAGGTGGCAAGATCTTGTCAAAGGTTTCACAAACCAACAACAGGGCAGCACTAGAGCTCATGCAGAAGCAGGGCCACCAACCCCTGGCCCTGGTGAGCCCCAATCCAGCAGGTCTGACTTGGAATGCATGCGAGTTTTAAACAACTTTGTACAGTAAATTATATGAACCAAAGTCAAAAATGGACAACTAAGGTCCTGGAAAGCTACATGATGTCATGTATTTTCAGATCAGATGACCTCTGGAAGACATCATTGAACAAATCACCAACTGCAGTGGTCAAAATATAATTGTTCCGAGTCTTTAGGAATTGATGAAGGGTGATTTATAAGACCTGCTGGACTGTGGCTCTGCAGGATCAGGAATGGTTTTCCCTGGATTATACAGATGAGCTGCAGAACAGGAAATGAAAGAATGGTAAAATGATTGGTGAGAGAGTCAAGAACCACAAAAGTCATGATTAACATTTACCAGCTGCTGGTAAAAGCCATTAGGAAGATTAGAGTCTGGATTACGGCAAATCCTTCAATCTGATTGCCAACATAAAATTCAGACCCAGCATTTAAGGGTATCTTTTTTTATAGACAAGGCAGCTTTCTACCCAATAGAAAAAGTAATCATCAAATACTAATACAACTTTGCTGTTCTGATGTGATCCTGGTTGAGTATATTAAAGATTTAATGTCTCTCTGTTTAACCAAAACAAGGTTAAAACAGGAGGTACAAAAAAGCCAAAGATAAAACACTTTTGTGTCTTCATCTAAAACTGTATGCTTCTTAATAAACTATTAGCTCCTTATTTTTCTTTAATACTTTAATTGCCATGGTGGAGCTTTGAAAAGATTATTATCTTCAAGATGACAAAGTCTCCTTCACAAGTAAGCCTTTTTTAAAAGGAAAATCATCAGTGTTTACAAGGCCTTTTTTATAGATCTCTTTAGTCAAACATTAGCGGGTCTGTGAGATACCCTGATGGTATTCAGAAAAACATCTATGTCTTCTGTGCCAAAACATTAAGATTTCAACAGAAACATGTGCTTACAGTACATTGACAGCCACTCCAACTGCAGCAGTGATGAGCATGACATCGCCGTTGATGTCAAAGTCCTGGTGGAGAGTTCGCTGCACAGCCTCGTACAGAAGAGCCCCAGTCAGAATGTATATCAGCAGAACGCTGATGGCAGCTGAGATGACCTCTGCAGCCCAGAAACAGATCAGTTACATGACGGATCCACTCTCCACACAAACAAACTGTGATCTGTACTGCTAAAAGGGGAAATCTAGAGAAAAACTTCCCTCTTCTGTTGGGTAGGATAAAAGCTCAGGATTACAAGTTATTCTTTGTGCAAGAATGTAATACTAAGAACATAGGATACATCAAAACTGATCTTTTGCCACAGGATTATAACTACATTTCACGTTTACGGGAAATTAAACTCATGAAATGGTGAGCCATCAAGAGAGATTTCACAAATTTAGATAAGGCTTATAGTATCATATTTGTTTGAGATGTAACCACATATACCATTTACGGCACAGAGAATGATAGAATGTTTATAGACAAACTTGAAATATATCAAACTAAGCAACTAAAACTGGTTTCAATAATTTGACACACATCTCAAGAGTATGAAAGCCAGTTGCACCAATCACCATTTCACACTAAACAGACCGACAACATGGATTTTAAAGGCAGAAAACATTCTTGGGTGCTTCAGACTTGTTTGAAAACTACATAATCCATTTAATTGTATAAATCACATAAATCATTCCAGCAACAATTCTAGGCCTGACAGGTTAACAGTAGCCTGGAATTCAACCACAAGCTTATCCTGTCCTGCAGACCTGGACTGACTGCCTATCCATTGGACCCGAAAGGCTAAAATTGAGGAACTGCTACTTGTGAACACGTATGTTCTTAATCCAGTTTCACCATGTTCTGTTTTTGTACAAAAAAAACCCTGCATGACTCAGTTTGGAAATGAAATGAGGTCATTTTGTTTTGATTATTGCCCACATGGTGTAATGTCACTTCTGTGACAAACTTCTAACATAATCAAAATCATTCATCTTCCTCACAGTCTTTAGCAGAAGTCAGCTGGTGTCTGGATTCATCTGCTTATAATGAGTAAGAGGGAACTACAGACAAAAGTCCCCTTATAAACCACCTGCATGAGATTTTAAATAATTTTCCCATCTTGTCCATCAAATAGTTTTATAAATCAAAGCAGGGATGACACCAAACAACAAAGACAAGCAAGCAACTGAACGGGCCATAGATCCATATCACTTACCTAGACGATGAAGTCCGAAGGTGAATCTTTTTGTAGGAGGTTTTGCAGACAGCCACAGTGCAAGCAAGGACACAACAATACCGATGAGATCCGTTATCATGTGAAGCGCATCGGTCATAATCGCTAGGCTATTGGAGACATAACCACCTTACGGCGAATTTTTAAAATGAGTTAAAGTTGATTAGGTGCAGAACGCAAGGTTACAGAAAGAGCAAACAAGTGAGATTCGGGGAATGCAACAGATCTCAAACATTTGCAAAGTACTGTAAGAACCAATTCATCAAACAGAAAGATCAAATAAATCTAGTAGGCTTAATGGACACACAGCTGCCTCAGGTGCTTTCAGAAAACACCTGCTGCATCATGAGGACTCCACAGACTTCATAGCTGAAGTGAGATGATAATCTGGGTTGGGAACTGACAGGTCTGACTCGGTCTACTTCCTTCCCAAGGCAATGCGTACAACCTAGGGCTTTGGTGAGAAAGACCACTGTGCTGAGTACTACAGTAGTGCAGTGACAGGACACTGTCATTTCGAGGCTTACAAACCCTTTACTACTGACCACCAGCCCATCAAGAGCACACTCACGTCATGACAATCGAACAAAATGACAGTAAGGTATGGGCTGGTCATTGCAAAATCTTACATTTGTACTCACAAAGTAAAATATTTAGCAATTTGTGTGAACTTCATGTGTAAACAAGTTCCCACTTACAGGTTTACTGGTGGTTAAATTAAAAATCTTTTATCCAACAATGCACTCTTAGGGACACTGTTTTTGAAGTCCAGAAACATTATCCACTCAGGAATGTTAAGCTATTAAGCAGGAGGCTTTAACAAAAAAGGCAAAACCAAAAATAATCTTCCTGTGATTCAAGTCCTGAATGTTGTGAACTAGTGTTTCTTGGTGTTGCATATTATAAAGGCACACAGAACTAATACCTGGCATAAACGGGAATACTGCTGGCCCAAGGTAGACCTTTTCAGAGTCATTCATTATTAAAATATGGTAGGGTAGATATACTTTAATAGTGTTGATTATGTACCAAAGTGCACTGTGTGGCACGGATGTTAAAACCCCGGACTGCATCATCTCAACTTCATACAGGACCCCTAAAAACAGAAAGGTGTGCGATTTCTCATTTCCTGTGGACATTTATAATGCACTCCGGAACGCCGCCTTAGTGAATCATTCTGAACGTCTGCTCACCTACGAGTTCACCTATCATGAAGAGGAGATAGAGCAGGGCAGCGAACCCTAACTTCTTCATCGCCCTGCTCTGCTTCAGCCGGTGGGTTTTTTTAGTGCAGCCCTCGCAGGGGTCCGGGGCAATGCCGGGGCTCTGCAGGCTCGACGAAGAGCCCAGCAGCGAGTCGTCATCGTCCGTCTCCGCGCTTATTGCCGTCCCGTTCGCGCTGGCGCCGGCCGGGAAGTCCCCCGGCTCGCCCGACACCACGACCCGCAGCTTGTTAAAGCCGGGGGTCTCCTCGTCCGCCAGCTCATCCGAGAAGTCAAAGGCAGCCGTGTCGCTGAGGTCCCACTCCGGCGGTTTGCCCTGGAAGACTCTCCGCAGCCTCTGCAGCACGCCGGCCCCCGACATGGTGCCGACCGGCGGCGGTGAACAGTCCCGAGTCCAACCCCACAGTCAATCTCCCAGGAACAGGCAGATGTCTCCCTGGGCTCGGTTTTAAATAACAGAAGTAGCAACCGATGCCTTCTGAATATCCCAAGGATGACTCACGGGTAGGAGCATCTATTACAAAACAATAAAAGTTATGGTGTTAGCATCAGACAGGATACGCTCAGCGACCAGCCCCTGTCTCTACCGAAGTTTGCCTGCGCTGACAGCCGCACATTTCTCGTTACACTGATCGGTTATCTCGTGTCGCCGAGTTCAGTGTTTGCAAGCGGCACTGGACATCAAATTACCTACAGTAAACGCGTTTATGGCGATTTGAAATGGCTGTTCCGGCGTAGGGCTCTGTTGGGGGAATGTGTTATCTTTAAAGGTAGTAGATACGAGTTGACTTTTGAAAATATTTCTCACGAAATAATGACAATGACAAAACGCTTTTCTTTCTTTCAAGAAAATAAGAACCAGCGATTAACACGGCGTGCCCATTTAGTGAATTTAAGCAGCAATGTAGCTGTTGTATACCCAGAAAGACCTAACCGCGTTTTTTCTAAAAAGAGCAGAAAGTCAGTTTCACTTACGCTGTCTTTTCGAGGCTGCTGTGGCTGGAAGGTATCGGCTGTTTTTCTCAACCGAACGGCTCCGACAGGAAGGGGTGGGTTGAGCCAGGCAGCTTGTCAGAGACCCGTCAGACACGGTCCCGCCCGGGACTCGCCCTCGCCGCCCCGCCGGGGTGACAGCACCGCTACCGGGCGAGGGGAGGGTGCCGCCGGCCCGCTCTTCCTCCCATGGAAACTGGGAACTGGGAACCAACGTCTCCCCGAAGGGTTCACCGCAGCCGCCGCCACCCGCTGAGCAGAGCCTGCTGCAGTTATAATCGCCCCGGGAACTACTGCATGTAAATCGCAGGAGGGACCAATATTTGAGTGCCGTAGGACAGCGCTGCGGGTGTCTGTAAAGATTAACGAAGCAGCCCAGATCACCTTTGGACTGATTTCCCGATCTGAGCCGCGCTTACCTTTTGATTTTTACGGTTCGTCGATTAAGCAATCATTTATATTTTTAACCCACGTCCATTTCAGTTTGATATGTAGTTGCTCCTCAACCCACATTGCCTGATAGTCTAATGCAGACTTGCAACCTGCATTAATTTTCTTTTGCATGGGAAATTTCTCTCTTTAATTTGCAGAGTTGTGCACATGAGAGACTGTGTGTCTCATAATGTAACGCCACTCCCATTCCCCGTTACGGGATTTGTCGGACGAACGTCATTCAGCGCAAATATTTAGGGGATGAGTTGGGTAATATTTAAATCACTCACTAGCACCAATGTAAATGGGATCGTTTTAAATCCCATAAAGAAAACCATGTCTTTTAAACAAGTGTACTGCCGACGCCACGGCTGAACGCCCACAGCCTCCCTCCGCCAATCCGGAGAGCGCAGTCAGGTTAGGTTGCGCACAGGAGTCACGTGCGACTACATCAAGTCACATGAGGATGATGTTTTCGGAGACATTGAACAGCCTGCCTATATGGGACAAAACCGCACTGAATTGCGGCACAGCCTCCTTATTTCGGCAATCTTCGGCAAGTGTCGTTAACTTCCGTGGTAGCACTTCTATTAACAAATATTAATTTCGCAATGATGACATAAGTGCAATTAATTTTGTAAGAAGCAATCGGCATTCACTGGGTCTTCGCTTAATTCTAACATAGCAACCCGTATCATAATTAATAATTAATAATCATAATTACTTTAATAAACATCATAGTTGTGACTATTGTGCACTACAGACATATATGTTATGTTAAATAACTCTTCTTGGAGGATTTATATGATTTTGCTACTGTGATATAAAGTAAAGCTAAAATATGGTACAGGAGAGGATGTGGAATACAAGAACATTAAAATATCAAAAATAAAAAATGCAATTTAGTTGTAGTTGCATTCTTGTCAGACGTACAGAATTCGGTAAGAATGTGAATTGTAGCTGACGGTTAGACAATGAGATTATAGGATATTACATTGTTAATTCTACTAACTACACTGATTATCAATTTAAGGATTTATACGAATGTATGCCTGTATTGAAAGGTTGATAGTGATGGATTCATACCTACTTCTTCGGAGTTTGGATAAAAAGTTTCCTTCACAGAAGCATATTAATATTTTAAATTCTACTTTTAAACACTAGCTACATTTTAGTGCCGTTTAAATGGTCTAAAGTAAAAAAAGAGCATTTTTTAATATTGAATTTGAAATTGACAAGAAAATCGTATACGTTAACAATTTAATTTGAAATTTTGAAAGGTCTCTTTCTAACGCCTTTCTTTGTCGAACATACACGACGGTTTCCGGGAACTGCCGAAACGGGAGTCGCGTTGGTTTCCTTTAAATGTGGCCTTAACCCATTAACCAAGGCTGCGCTGTGCGTCCTGGTATTTCCTGATTAGTGACAGATGATGGTAATGGTGGAGTCAGAAAGATTTGTTTGGGAACCAACTTGGAGAGTATTTGTTATGAATTGTTAAAAAGGTATTTGTGATAAGCAATGTGAGTTTTCTGCATGTTAAACCAATTGTTCAATCATAACGGTTTGTTGCACCTTTGAATTTAATTTCTTTATTATTTCAAAATTAGCAACAAAGTAGTAGTTTTTCTGTATGTTTTACCTCTAAGGAGCATGTTAAAGATTGCGCAATGTAGCGTAAATGTTTCAGCGAATGCGCATAGCTTCTACAATATGATTACGTTACCTGTTATTAATGTGTGAATAATATGAAGGCTGGGTTTACTTGTCTCGCTTTAAATGGTGTCGTCTTAGACTGCGTGTTAAAACACTGACAATGCATGCACTTCGTAAGTTTACTGTACATTAGATCTGTTATGAAGTGCCTTTTTGGCTCTTTCGTGATGGAAATAGCGGCGGTTATAATCTACACCTGGAAAGAAGGTTTTTTACTTGGGTATGGAAGATGAACTGAGCATTGTTTTATGAGAACGGCAAGGTTATGTGTTTGCACACCCCACTCATTATTTATCAAATCACAATTGCATGTTTTTTTCCAACGAAGTTTGATGTTGATTTGACATAATGCCTAAGGATTCCGTTCTAAAATCGTTTGTTTTTTTTAATGAAGCGTTGATTTAACCACATACATTAACGGAAAAAAATAATAATCTGTTTTACATTGAAAACCTGGAAACCAATTCAGGCATCAGAGGTTTTAGTGGGGCACTTGGAGTAAAGCTCCTCAGCCTCCCTCCTGGAACTGAGCCCTGCCTCTGACTCCACTCTGCTGCTTTGTGCTGTTTTGCCAGGTGAGTGGGAGGGGTCCCGCTGTCCCTTTGCCAGGCTTTGTTCTGTGTGCAGATTCAATGGAGCCTTCAGAAGAAGATTCGCAGACTACTGCTGTACCGCCCCACGGCATCTCCACAGGTGATATTCTTACTTCCCCACCAAATCAAACTGCAGAGCAGACCGAGCTCAGTATTGAAGTCCAGCCGTCGTAATGGAGGGGAAAAGCGGATGATCTCGTGCGGAAGAGCCTCACTCTTTTGAGACTGTTCATTTGAAAGGACTGATTCTAAGCTGTCCTGAAGGCTCGTGCTTTATCTGTTCTGTTCAGAAAATGCAGAGTTTTGAGTTATGAGTCAATGACGTGGTGGCCCCCCAGTTATAAATTAAAAATCTCTGGCTCTACATTTAAAAAGAGTGCGTTATCTGGACCAAAGCTTATTTACTTATTGGAATTCAATAGGATACTGGAATCTTGTGGTTGACACTGCTTGTGTTTTCACCACCAGAAAACTAGATTGAAGATAATTTCCCCCTTGAATGTTGCCATCGCTGTTGTCTTCTGAATAGAAATGTGGTGTTGGGTCACTGGCTCGTGTCTGTTATTGTTGGATATCGTAACTTCCCACAGATTGTAGTACAGAGTCTCCGGAAGCAGGCGACCCCGGAGAGCTGATGTTTGTGGATGAGAAGGCTGTGGAGAAGCTGGCAGATGGACTTATCAGCCATTACTTACCGGAGCTACAGAATTCAAAGCTGGCCCTACAGGAACTGACGTAAGTGCCATTTTAAGGAAAATATCAGCTTGCCTGAAACCCACATAAAATAGTCATTAACTGGGTCATCTGCGCTTGTGTTGATGAATGTTGTGTTTCGAAACAGGCTAAAGAAAGCCTTTAAAAACAAGTTAATACCACCATAATACCACAGTAGAAGCCATGACTTATTTCTTATGCCTGTTTTCTAGCATTACTCTGCTCACTTCATTGTGAAAGTCTGGATGTTTGTCATATGTCTGTTTTGTGGGCCTGAACAGCACCTTTTTTAAAATACAGACTAAAAGAGCAGCAAACGGAGAATTCAGTTCTTGCACTTCCAGCACATACTGTAGTTCTGCTTAGTCAACAGTGGAGAGTTAAGCATGGAGAAAGTGTAACACTTAGAAACCCAAATTTGACGTTTTCATTACCAACATTAATGGGTACTGAACTGTGAATATGAAATGTATTTTATAACACCTGCTTTGTGTGCATTTACAATTTTATACTCCTTTTCAGACAAAATCAAGTGATATTGCTAGACACACTTGAACAAGAAATTGCAAAATTCCGAGAGTGCAGTTCACTTCTTGATATCAGTTCCCTGGTAAGTTTGTTCGGGTTTGTCACACGAGAGTTTATATATTGACACATACTTATTAGTGAGGATGGCAGGGTGGCACAGTGGTTTCCAGCGCTCCCTCGCAGTGCTGTGGCCCTGGGTGCAATTCCAGACCTGGGATGCTATCTGTGTGGAGTGTGAGGCATGTCCCTCCCTGACAGAATCGCATGCCTGCAAGTGCCCAGGAGGCAGCAGGGGTGGCTGACAGTGGAGAAAGTCCTGGGCGACTAGTCCCACCCTCTCCTCTGCAGCGCTCAGTCACTTATGGCTGGTGACATGGGCAGTCCCAGTCACAGTCAGCTAGTAACATGACCCAAGCTCGAACCTGTGATTATAGAACATAACCTGCACTTGGGCAGCACTAATACCAGTTGAGCACCTTGGATGGATTATAGCATTATAAATTTGACATACTGCCCAGTACCCTCTCAGCTGTTTATAGTCTTAACTTCTAAATTATCTCCCAAATGCATGTTAGGGTGGGTCTGGGTGACTTTATTCCTGGATCTGATTGTAGCAGGGTGTCCCTCTATTTTCAGCATGGAAGTGTTCCATACATATTCTGCAACTTAACTTTGTTTAGTCTTTTACATTAAAAAAAAAGACTTTGACCTGAAAGGCTTTTTATCTGACCATTTTGTTTGCAGTTTGCAGAAGCAAAACACTACCACACTAAATTAGTAAATATAAGAAAAGAAATGATGGCGCTTCATGAAAAAACGACCAAACTAAAGGTAAGCAAATGTTTTCCTGTCATGGTCTTGGGTCTCTTGTCACAGTCAAGATTTAGATACATTTAGACAGCAAATATGCCACCTTCCTACCCGACATTGTCAGATTTAAGCAAGGCTGAGTCTGGTCAGACCTCGCACTTGTTGGTGTAAGTGGTACCAGTGGACCTGTAGGTGGCGCTCCTCCGTCTTGACCAATGCTTCAGTCTAGTAACAAGGACAGTATGCTATAGCAGGTGCCATTTTGCAGATGAGATCTTAAGCCAAGGTCATGACTACTCGCTTATTAAAAATCCCATGACACTACTGGAACGACTGGGGGTGTTAATCCCAGCCTTTGGGCTAAATTCCGTTCTGAATTTACACATCCCAACCTTCCTAAATGCCCTCCTAATTTCCATTAGCACAGTAATTGCTCCCTTCCCCCCATCTGCAGTGTCACAGGACACAGGAGCGGCATGTCTGCCTCTCGTTACCCGGGGAAGCCAGTGCTGGATGAAGCCAGCCCCTTCTTGTGAATAGAAATTGCTTTGGGTCAGTTAGAGATGAAAAGAGCTACTGTATGTGAGCAGCGTTATTTGTTTAAAAAAAGAATCTTTGATCTGAGCACAGATCATTGTGTATGTTAAAAGTGCTTCCAAGGAATAAAGAAGGACCTGAGCATTTAAGTGGAAGTGAATTTATATGTACAGTATGTGTGAAAACAATTGGTAAAAGGACTTAAACATTTGTGGATTAGGTAACCTGATAATGTCTTGCATTTAGCCTTTGTTTTTATTGCCAGTAAATGGCATTCCAAGGAAGAATAAATAAGATTGAAACTGAGAAATATAGTCGTGTAGTGACAGGCTCGAGAAAGTACTTCATGCCTTAAGTCACAGTTATTGCAGATCATGCTTTCTTCTAAATCGGTCTCTAAAATATCTACCAGGGTACTTCCGGAACGGAGTGATTCATGTATAATTTCTGTAAAGTGCTCTGGATTGCTCTGGATTAAAAGGTGCTCTATAAGAATAAAACTGATTGATCGGTGCTGTGGTCTGAGAGCAACGTTTCCCTGCCCCGTCACAGAAAAGAGCCCTGAAGCTGCAGCAGCAGAGACAGAAGGAGGCCCTGGAGAGGGAGCAGCAGAGGGAGAAGGAGCTGGAGAGGGAGAGACAGCTCATCGCGAAGCCTGCGAAGCGCTCGTAGGCCAGGGGGGTGGTCTGCAGCTGAGGCTGTGGCCAGCAACGACGCCTGCCCTGCCGAACCCCAGATGTTCTGTATCTGGTTGAACAGAAGCTTTCTCAGCTCCGAACAGCCGGCTGTTACCGTTACCTGCTTCGGCACCGATGGACTCTAAACGGCATTAACAGGGGACTTTACTTGCACTGAGTAAATTGATAAGGAGTATTAATTAATGCATTGCCTACTCAATGCAACTTATTTTGTGAGCATTTGCTCTCTTTCCACATAGTTTAGAGGAATCTGAATTCAGACCCCCTGCATGGCTAAGCAGACCTTGCTCTGAAGATGTCGGTGAGGGAGAAGCAGCTCATCGGTGACGTTTTATTCTCCACGCTCCCCTCGCGACCAGCAGAGAGGGGATGTCACATGTTCTCCCCCTGTGTTTGTTGTCTCGTTGTTGCACAGCACAGTGAGCAGTGTGTACGGGTCAATGTGTGCCGGTCCTGAATGATTCTGTCACTTCATTTTAATTCACAGCGGTTTACCTTGTACTTTTAAACTTAGGAAGAAACTCTTGCTTTGTTTACATTCTTGAATGTATCACTTGGTCAGGCTTTTAATATCATAGTTGCCTTAATTTTAATTTCATTTATTAGCAAGAAATGTTGTGTTATTTCTATGGATTAAGATCTCTTTGAATTTTTTTTTCTTTAAAAAAAGTTACTAGGCTATTATTTAATTTTAAATTAAGTGGAAAAAATAATGCTGTTGGATATGAAAATATAACGCTACAGTTAATTTTGCAAAATTAGATTAATTTGAAAAATGAAGTAGTCATTTTTATGTTACAAAATAAACTAACCTCAATGTTAAATATTTCAGGTACTTATTACAAATTCTCTAGAACAAATGAGCAGTACTGTTCAAATTACAGTGCCACTGCAGTGCTCTAGTAGTGGACAATTATAAATAAAAGTATTTTAAAGTTTTCTAACTAGGTGCAAGAATGTTGCATTTGACTTTAGGTGTAAGATACTGTAATTCCTTTAATATAACATGATTTATAGGCAGATACAGAGTAATTAAAGTTTATTGAGCCAAGTTTTGCTTTAGAATGTGTCTGCTTCGCATGTTATTGGAGAAAAGTAAAGATCTGTTGTATATTTCCTCCGTGCTGTTAAGAGTGATCTTTGCAGCATTGTTTAACCACAGGTATGTGTCTTGGCAGAGCGTCCATAGCTCACAGACTATGGCTGTCCTGGATGCTGCCACTCTCTCCTGCTAAGCCCTGTCTTGCTAGAGGCATTTGATTGTGTTTGAAGACAACAGGCCCTCCTGACTGAGCTGTGCTATACAGACTTTTACTGCAGAAGGAAGGTTGTGCAAAGAGTTTTCCCTTGATTGTAATAGCTGCTGAACTAGTGGTCATCTGCAGGGATTCTCAGTACCTTCCTGGCCTTTAAGGACAAACAGGTCAGAAGCAGGATGATACACCCTGTTGCTCCTTAAAAGGCCAGGAAGGTACTGAGAATCCTTGCAGATGACCATTAATTTCAGCAGCTATTACAATCAAGGGAAAACTCTTTGCACCCTGACAAAAAAAAATAGTTGAACAGCAGGACCTGCTTCGCCAGGCACTACAGTTGACCCGCAGCCCCCCCTTGACCTCTGCCACGTCCAGGATTTCGACAGTTTTATGATATTCCAAGTGGATACGATCCAATGCAAAAACAGTGCTCGGACATCGCAGGGTCAGGTTGTCATGTTTCTCACATAAGCCAAGACTGTTCCTCAAGTCCTTAGAATAGGGGTCCACAGGCGGGGTGCTGGAGGACTGAAGGATTTTTAGGTCTCTTCAAACCACCAGCAACTGAAAAGCTGGGAGAAGCCGTTAAAATGGTCCAATTAAGCCAGGCTGATGGATGTTTAGGATAAGATCCCTTTATTGGCCAATGCGCTCTGACTCTCAAGCCTCTCTCCCTGTCTGTGTCTCTCATGGAGAGCAAGTTGGCATATGTGAAAAGACAAATTCCTAATACAATTGTATATGGCCTATAAAGTGATCTTATCTTATCTTAATGTGGTTGTAAGTCCAATACTATATCTCAGCTGTAGCAAGACTTAAAGTTGTCTAATTACTGGTACAGTAACACACAGGATTGCTGGTAACAGAGAGTGGTTGAAAAAATAAAGGAAGGTTTCACGTTAATGTCAGAATCTGACTATTGAAATCTTTCTGTATGGTATGGATGCTAAAAGTTACTAGTTTTACTAAGTTGGAAGCTGTTTAGTGACACCATGTGGCAGATATCTGAAATTACAACTTGTTGATTCAATTTAGGAATCAGGAGTATTGTGCTGAGTCATTTCTGATACCATAACAGTCCTAATGTTGTGCTGATTTAATTGCAGATATAGAAAATACTGTGAAGGACACGGAATTCTTATTTTTGTTCTCACTTTTTATAATTTAACTTTGTTAGCTTTCACTTTTTTTCTCAGCTGGTGCCATTACCCTGCGGTTTTCAGAGATGCCTTTACATTACCAACAGCTACATGTATAAAAAGGGGGTTTAATTGTCTCATTTAGGAAAATATCACATGTTGTACAAAACTGAGATCTGTTTAAGGACCGGAGTCATATACTCAGTTCGCAGTGTAGGTCACTGAATCAGTTAAGTGTGGAGTTCTTTGGATGAATGTTCTTTCCTGTTGGTATGCAAACATTTCAAAGTACTTTAGCGGGAAACGAAAAGGTTCATTACCGCTTAATTAATGCCTTTACTGAATCATCAGTTGTTTAATTAGCAGGAGTAAACATGCCTTTCAGACCTTTGATCACAGAAAATTAAAGGCTTATGCATAAAACCTGCTGGACTATGGCCCTCACAGTCCTGGGTGAACACCTTTGTTGTAAGTGATCAACTTGGAGTAAAAAAAAAAAGTGTATATGTTACACAAATAAACATTTGTCAGAGAAATCAGGCGGACATGAAGGTACAAAGCAAAGGTGCCTCCAAAGCCCATCTGGGAGGTTTGAGACTCTTGACGTAGAGGATCTCGGGGCCGATGCCTGGTCATTTTAATGGCTCAGCTCACACTCCTGTCAGGCGGTGTAGTAGTCCTGACTTCTCCGCGCACTTGAAACCGATCCCTGGGATTCTCTTGCAGTTCCTGTCGGGAGCAGGACCACTGATCTCCTGCACAAGTGTGTCCTAATGGGGTTACCTAAACCTTGACCGCAACACCAGTAGAGATCATTCCCACGGCTGTTGTGCCGATGGGTGGACAGCTCCCGGACTGAGCATGTGTACTTCCGAGTTTCGTGCTGACCCGTGCCCAGGCTCTGAACCCTTCTATTTAAATGTCAGTGATTCTTTTTTTTCCTTTCATGTAAGAAACAAGAAGTGACTATAAATAGCAAACTCACTCATAACGAAGGGATGCCATCCCATTCTCTGGTGTTTGCTCTGTACTTCTCGTGGTTTCACTACTGAGGGAAAAGTTACAAAACTCCGAATTACACAACTGGACGCTCAGACATTGCGGGTTAGTGTCGAGACGGGAAAACGCCGTCGTGTAATCTGCAAAGGCACAAGCAGAGGTTAATATTGAAAATGAAGAAGAAACGATGTTTCGGTTGTCGCGCTTGCTACCACACACCTAAAGAAGGATTCATGAGCCGAAACGTTGTTTTCGTTTTTTTACTTGTCATCGTGGAACTTTTACTTATTACAGATACATTGCTCAGTGTCTACCAGTGATATAGTATTCGACATACACTATAAAACAATGAAACACGCGAGATATTTTATTACTATGGCAATAAAGTACGCCATACAAATTCACAAAAGCTCTGCAGGGCTCTCAGCTCAAGTCAGCAGTTCAGCATTTACTGTAGCCTTTGGGGGAGGGCGAAACAACGAGGACCTAACCAACTGTTGAAAAGGGGTGTTTTATGTAGGGTTTTTTTCCGTGAAAATAATTCACCCCTTGAGTGTTTTTGAAGTGAAAATGTCTTAGAGGAATAACACCAAAAAGCATAAATATCTATTACTGTAAATATTTTGTCTCTACAATAAAGTCGGTTTAAATGTTCCCTCAGTTTTCCCTGCAGTGGGAGTGGAGCACCGCTTTGAACAAATTGTTCAGAAGTTGAGAGGTGAGGTCTGTCTGTTGAGTGAGCACAGCGGTTCATCCATTCAGACAGGACGGGCGACGTTTGATGGTGAGTTTTTAGTAGGCTAATGGCATTATTAGTCTAATCATTTGTTTAAATGCGCTGCAGTGCAGATCTGACGGCTTCTTGCGCAGCGGCTACTCTGTGCGCCACGCAACCTGTGTCAAAATCACCTTAAGGAATGTATGTATCCGTGGCTACCGCTGAAACAGCTCGGTGCACCCCACTCTTTATAACTGATTTTAAGACAACTACGCGAAAAATGTGGCAGGGTAAAACTTCTGTTTCCAGGTCTATCCTAGTCTACATTTCTGGATGTCGACGGGATTTTTAACAGAAGGCCTGTGGGAGTGTGAATGACAGGAGTGGCTTGTCTCTCGTTTTTGGGCTTGGTTTACGTAAAGACGAGCGTGTTTCTGCGATTACTGTTTTGCGCGGTAAGCGATTTGTACTTCTATTACAATTAGCTTTAGAGATTAAAGCAAATTTTCGGCAATAATGCTGGCTGTAAATTGTTATTTCTAGAGAAAAGTGAAATTTCTGGGGATTAGGCCTGCAGAATCACTTACATTTGAGACAAGTCCGATTGTCACGAATGCAAACGAACTTGGTCCCCTGAGGTCGCGGGTTCGGCGTTGAGTGGTAGCAGCGGGCATACCATCTGCGCGTTGCACCCGGATTGGTGTTGTTCACCAATGGTGTTCTTTTAATATTGTTTCTTTGTTATTTTAATATTTTCTTTAATGTCGCAGGAGTAGTCACCCCTACCCACACGGTTTTCCCGTGACCTTTTTCGTGTTGTTTACACCTCCACTCGGAATAAAATGAAGTACTAACTGTTGTTTGGGCTACTTACAAAACGCTTGGTATCCGAAGTTGGTTCCTAATTTGTCGGTGATTACTTGCGATTAAGATAGTGGATTCTACTAATTATGTGCTTCTATCCCAGAGATCGTCTGATACCTTTTATGGGGTATTTAAATTCTTCTAGTACCGTCGCATCAGACCTGCGTAACGCAGATATAGTCAATAGTTACTTTTGTGTCGCTGATCTAAAACTTTGAAAAGTCATCTTGCTTTACATCAGTCTCGTTAAAACAAAACAAAAGCACATAACAGTCACCAAGGTCACATGAGAAGTAAGTGAAGTTCTATAAAACAAATATTTCTGCACCTTTAAATAGAACATTATTTGATAGCAACAGTAGATTGGAAAACATTATCCAAATATATTTATATTATGCCAGTATCTGAAGCACGTTTTATAAGTTAAAGGTTCAAATGATCTGCAGAGTAAGGATGAGTCTGCAGTGAACTTTACCCTAAAAACTCGAGCAGTTAATGCAGACAAGGAAATGCTGGAACTGCAGGTGTGTTAAGATGGGAGCTGGGATTGGTACAGCCTGAAATAAACCTGGCTGCCAGAGAGTGATGTCATCCATAATACTTGAAAGATCTGGG